ATTATGTTAAGAATATATTTTTTGTTGTTGATATTATTTGATTAGACAATAATAACCTGTTAAATTAAAAATAGTTTTTCTTTTTTCTGAGAACTTTTATTGTATGCTATAATTTTATATTATTTTAAAAGTAAAAAAGTTGACTATATACAATCACACTATTTAATTTGTAGCGACTTTCTTAAAAATTTGTACTCTCTCACTCTCTCTCTCATCAAAAAGTAGTTAGAAATATTTATTATTTCATAACATATATATATAGCGTAAATATAATATGTTAATTTTAATCTCTAAATTTTTTTACGATTCATGTAAAAGAATTTTATTAAATGCTATTCCATATTTAGAGAATTCATAAAACTTTAAAATGTAGTATATTTCTCAGTGTCCGTTTTTTTTTATCAGTAATTAGCGGACTGGCGCGTTAATCATTAAAATAAAATATAAGCGTGATTTAAACTTTATGAAAGACGTATATTTTTAGAAAGCATCTAAAACTTTAAGCTTTGTTCTCATCAGATCGTATAATCGCTGACTTTATGAAGGAAGGAGTATACAGTACTTTTTTAAGACTTTGAAGAAGCGCTTTCTGCTGTTTGAGTGCGCGCTTTCGTAAGTTTAACGAGTCTCGCAGTCATCTTATTTCTCGGATGTGCATCCGCGCGGTAAAGGAAACCTGTGTAAAAAAAATTGATTGTCCGTTATCAGACGTTTACGATCCTTTAATTGCGATTTCGTGACGCAGGTTTGCAACGATAGTTTATTATCGATCGCGTTATTAATCGCTACAATGTAACGTCGTAATCTAGGAAAGACCGGAAACAATTGTTTCGCGGTTGAACGTGTACGCGCAACAAGTCGCGTCCGATAAGTCATAGCCAGAGCAGGGGTGTCTATGTCGTTCCTGGTAATAAACATATCTGTATTGAGATGGTGGTCGTACGTGTGAACGGCTACAACCACATCCGCTTGGGACGGTGGTATAGAATTTCCAATATTGGATATACTTGTGCCGTATGAAGGCGGATGATATCTATCACGACATCTTCGCCATGCAATCGATTATGAAATAATTGGTCTTTTATTTTTCTTTTATTATGCACAAAAATTTATACAACGCATTATAATTAACCCTTGAAATAAGCAAAGTTATTACTTTTTTCACATATCCTCAAACAAAAGTCTTAATTAAACGCTACTTATACTTCTATTTATAAAGACATCTGTAATAAGAAATATACATAAAAAGTATCTGTACTTAAGATCGCGTCTTAAATATTCGTACGGCTATTCTCCGAACAAAAACTTTGCTTAAAGAGAGCGGATAATGAGAATAGCAAGATGAAACAGGCCTTGTCGTCGGGCCACAAAAAGGAGCGAGCTGAATATGAAGGTTGGGGTTGAGCAAAAGGAGTTTCAAGCGAGAAAAAATGATACTTTTCATGCCGGAAAATAAAATGAGTCATTCAATGAAGTGGTCGTAGTGTCGGCGTAACGAGTCAGGGTAAAAGCGCGGGATGAGAGTCGCGGTTCCGAGCCTTCTTCTGTTGTACCTTGCTTCATGTAGTTGTCGTTCTCTTCTCGTCGGGTCTTCCTCTTCCTTATCCGACAAATGGATGGGATAAATTGCACTCTTGGTACTCTTGACTTTTAAACCCGCTAGGCGAATCTCTGTGTGTCCAACTATACTTACTTTTAAATGTCTTCCCCGACTGGGATTTCAGTGGTGTCGACGACGATTGCCGACGCTCATCGGCGACGTCGTACTGACGACGCGGGTAATGACGCAACGCCTCACGGATTAAGCCGTTCAAGGCTTACGAGCTGGTGATTATATGACGCCTGCGCGATCATCGGATGGGCAATTACGAGTCCGTAAACGGCCTCCGTTGCTGTAAACTCGTCGATTTGCCGCGGTCATATGATCCGAAATGTTCTCTCATACGGAAGATCAGGGATCAGAACGAAGATCAGAGATTATGTAGAAATTCAACGTGAACATGACATAATTTTTTATACTGTCGCAATTAAACGATAAAACGATAAAATAATAAAAATGTTATCGAAAGGATAAACAGATGCTTCCAAAAGTATTTTTATGAAAAGATTGTTATCTTATAACATGTCATTATATGATTATATTCTACAACGATGTTTGTAATTACGTTCTTTATCGTACATTTTTCGATGAGTATAATTTAAAGAAAATAAATATTTAGAAACAGAATAAATGTAACATAAGAAATAAATGAAGAGTATATTGCATTGTAAAAAATCAAATTCAAAATTTGATAATAAAAATGATAATAAACCACATAATGTATGCTAAGACGCTCAGGTTACAAGGTTATATGCGAAACTAGGAAGTTAGTACGCAACGACGTAATTCCATCCAAAGATTATCAATTCGTGACACGTTATTGTGATGTGACGGACGCTTAAAGAACGCCATTGTCCTGAGCGATTAGTCCGCAAACAAGATCGAGGATTTAATAATGTTGAGAGGCGAGCTGGACGTTGTGCATACATCGGGATTGGCACACAGCTTTTGGGGGTCTTCAATATCTGAGCAGCTCAGGAGCGGTATTGTCTAGGGCAAGGACGCGGTTCTGTTCACTTTGCTTTATGACTGTCTCGACCGATGACGACGATGACAAGCATTATGCTGGGGATAATAGTTTCTACTAGCAACTATGCAACCGCAAAGGAAATGTATTTCACAGAACAGATGCATTTTGTCAACTCGATCGCAAAAATTCGCCTTGTCACGAAATGCTTTGATTGATCTCTTATTCTCCTCCGTAGTACACTTGGAATTAATATAGTTATTTTAATAATTAGAAAGAACTTTGGAGAATTATACGTAAGAAAATGGTATCGTTTTTCGGTGATTTTTGTAGAACATTACTTGATTTTGTCGGATAACTAATTTGAACATATAGCATAACGGTAAAATTTGATGAGGAAAAATGAGAAAGCACGACGGATAGATGAAGGAATGCTCATGTCCTCGTCGTTCTTGACGCCATGGCATCCACGAGCCGTGAGCCGGCCGAACGAATACAAGTCCTATTCCAATTCCAGCAAGTTAATTGGAATTGTTTGCTGCAGACACCGCGAGCCGCGCTTGCCCTCGCGCCCTTCTGAATCCTATACCTCAAGCAGCACTTTCCTTTGTCCCTCCCCCGTCTCTAGCTGCTGCTATCGTAGCTTCAGCATGAAACTCACACCGGCATCGTCGCGCGTTCATACAGTCCCTGACAGTCTGAGAGGAATTAATTTCTACCATCCACGAACTCAGTGTTCGCAAAAGCGTCCCGTTAAAATGCTCGCCAGCGTTCTTTCGAGTTAGTCAAACGATCTTATCAGAAGAATGCTTAATGTCTTCACCTCTTCCGTGATAAACATGTTTAACTAATTAATGCAGATGGATGTTGAAGATCTTAAAATTATCAAAGGATCTATATTAATACTATCAAATTTTTATAATAAATCAGAATAGTATACGAATGTAAATGCACACGTTGCAATCTATCATTTAGTCTTATTGATGGTCATTCAGGATTATAGTTGTTAATGTAAATATAAAATTTACATAGTTGATAAACTTTTATGTGACGTAATATTTTTTAATAAAAATGGATTATGTGTTTAAATGAATTTTGATTGGATATGTTATTACCACGATTATAATAGATCTAATTTTTCCAGTTCCTTAGAAAAGTTATTCGCATTTATTCGCTGAAATCTGGCGATGAATTATTCGTTCGTATTAGGCAAATGACGTGAATCATTTAGATGGCTCTGAGTGTGCGAGAGAGGATAGCTATGAATTCTGCATATTGCCGTTTTTGCACTTTCTATTTTGGAATTTATTCCGTTGGTGCAATCACATTCTTATAAATATACGATTAGCGTAGAACGATAAAAGAAATCGACTACTAGGTTTCTCTTCAAATATTATATCAATAAAGCACGTTTTTTATTTATGACAAACGGAGGACCTTTCAAAAACATCTAGCAACAAATATTAGTACTAATTTTAATTTTCTTAGAGAAAGATAATGAATAATTATAAATATAAATATTTTATATCTTAAGATGGAGAGAGAGAGAGAAAGAGAGAGAGAGAGAGAGAGAGAGAGAGAGAGAGAGAGAGAGAGAGAGAGGGGGAGTGAAGAAAGAAAAGGAAGGGAGAAGAAGAGGGAATCCGCACTTATCTATTTGTTATGGATTAAATATTATATAGATAAATATGAGACAAAACTATATACTATATTAAAAAGATAATTGTGAAAAAATAATATTTTTTATAATATTACTTACAGAAATATATTGGTTTTTCTCTCTCTCTATAAGTACATTTTATTTTTTTATCTTTAATGCGATTGTCGTGTCAGTTACGTAAAAGGTAAATGATAATACGTTCAACACAATATTTGCACGTTTGACTCGTTTTAATTTAATTGATTACGTAAGAAAACGTAATAAGTAAAAATAAAAATTCTTATATACTATTTGCTCTTTTACTGAAGTTACAACATTATTCATGTAAATACAGTTTGTACTGAACGTAAAGAATAATCTTGATTTAGAAAATATGTATATATTTGTATATACGCGCTAAAATATATACCTTTTGTTTATTATGAGTTATTAACATTTATTATGAGTTATATAAATTAAATAAAAATAGAAATTACACTAAAGATGTTAAAGTCGTTAAAATACAAAAAACTTTTCTTTGATCTTTTATTCAATCTATCTTTATCTTTACATTTATTTTTTCATTTTTTACTGAAATTTATTTGTATTCAAAAGCCTATGAAAGAAGGAAGAACATGATATAAGAGTTGTTTATTATAAGGAAATTCTCGAATTTATTATTAGGTGCAAGGAAATAATTATTAAATTAATTACTTTTTTATGCTACATTATTATATTAGTGTTAATTTAAAATAAATTAGAAATTTTCAAATGTTTAGACTCTAAACACGATTTTAGTATAGGGGTTTAAGGCCAATTATTCTTTTACTAAGATTCGTTGATCCTTCCACATCCAATCCCACTTCTTTGGTTCTCGTGATAAACAACTTATAGGTCTCATGAGCGGTTAAATTCTTGATGATTTCCATCATTTCTTTGGACGTAATTTTTGCAATGAAATCAACAAAGACTTTGGAAGTCTTCAACTTTTTTCTATAAAGAGCGTCAATTTTGTCCAAAGGTAATACATCATAAAGTTCGTTGAGCAATCTTTCCATTCCATCACCGATCTTCTGTATCTTACTTAAAGACATGAAAAGGTTCTTTATTTTGGGTGGTACATATTTTTCCATGCCGATAGCATGATGCAATGCTTGAATAGATTCAATAACAGGGAGTCCAGCTTTTTCTAAGTATACTACGAATACTTGATATTCCTTAAGAGCTTCGAGAGCGCGCAGCAAATCATGGAACTCAGTTGTGAATGTGAACAATGCAGCTTTTTGTACTTTTTCGTCTTCATTTACATATTGGACTATTATGGTGAAAAACTTTTCTATCGGAAGAAGATGGATGAAATCTTCTAGCTCTGCTATTATCGTTTTAGAGGGAAGACATGGTACTTTAATACCGAGAACGAGATACATGATATCTTCCACAATTTTTAAACTCACTGATTTGACTTCAAGATAGTTCAGAATCAATTGGAAGGTCTCAACTTTGTACATTTTGTTAACAATCTGTTGGAAATTGTTGGATTTAAATTGGTTGATAAAATTGACAAAAGCTGTAGAGGTTTTTAGTTTATACACATATATGCCAATAAAGACATCATAATCAATATGTTTCTTGATGTTATTGACCAATCCGCGAAGTCCATTGGTTTTTTTCATTGTAGAGTACGCTTGAGAGCTAGATGGTACGAGTTCCTTAATATCATGTACTTTATTAATCATGTCTATTACATAGTAAATATCGATGCCTTCATTTTGCAGATAATAAAATAGCTTGAGCACTTCAGGAATGGCGTGGATGTCTATCAGCAGGTGTTTAATTAAAATTGTACTTTGTTGAAGGTCATTAAGTACCTCTTGTACTTCATTATCATGTATCACATAGTACACAATCTCATCGGCAATTTTTTCTAAAGGGAGTAAATCTAGAATGTCTTATAAATCTTCATGAAGAGGACCTTTACCGAAATTTGGGAACTGGTGAGTTTGTCCCAGGCCAATAATGACCAAAATGATAAACGACCCTAATGTGAATTTCATCTGTAAATTAATAAATAAAATAAAATTGAGCGTATTACAATTTTTTAATATGTGTTACTATGACTCTCTCTTAATAAAAAGTATTATTTTGAAAAATATATCAACGTTTTCCATTAATGATTATTTTTCATGTACGAAATATTTGCGATTACATTTAAAAAATAAATAATTATTATTATTACTTTGTTAAGATTACGTGATATTACTTATAATCTTTACACATATGATTAAATCAAATATTTAAATATATTTAAAATTATACTTTTTCAATATGTATATTTTTCTTTTTAATTTTACCTAGTTTTAACTAGATTTTTCTTTTGAATAAAATAGATAATTAAAGATTACACACAAAAAAATACAATATAAGGAGTATAATTAAAAATACAAAAAAGATATTACTCTTTATTTCTCAATTATTTAATTTTAACAAGATATTTTTAAATAAACTATTAAGTTAAATATTAAATTAAGAACAAAACGTAGAAAATAAAATAAAAAAATTTGAAATACAAATATATACATTTTGTTAATTATAAAAATTTATTGAAAGAAGAAATCTATACGATTAAATTTCTATTAAAAACGAAAATTATACTAAACTATAGATTGATTGATTGAATGCATAAATATGACTTATTAAAATTCTTAATATATGTATTCATATAAGACGTATGAAGAAACTTTACTTACTGTGGCAGTTGCAGATGCGGATTGCGAACATGAATAATTTATCGTAGATTTATATACTGGTAATCAAACTGTACGAAAAGATTAGGAAATTAGATAAAAAATGTGCGATTAGATTGAGATATTAATTTATACGAAAATTTAGGAATCAGTTGATAAGCTTTTAGACAAATTTGCTTAACTTTCCAAACATATTATGTATTTTTTATATACACCACCTATGTATATATAATACATGCAGAGAAAGAAAATGAGAAATAATTAAAATATATGAACATAAAGCAATTCTGTTTCTAAATACGATAAATATTTCTAAAATTTATATTTGCATTTATTTGAATTAACAGCATATTTCACGTATTCCTATGTTATCTCTCTAATTTGTGTAATATTTTATGAGTAATGATTGAGGAACTTTTTTATTTGTTAATTTGTATTTTAAAATCAAAGAAAATTACATTTTCTTCAGAGAGAAAAAATACTATATATTGTTATTTTTTACATTTTATGTTATGATTTATTTATTAAGATGTTAATAATTATGTTACGTTTCTCTTTTTCGACCGTTTGATCTTAATCATATTGTGATTCATATCAAATTTGTCGGAATATGTACTGAAAATTTATCATTAATAACAATTTTCTTATTTCTCATTATTAAATAAGGTTTATCCAAGATAACTTTTAAAAACATTAAAGGAATATATTTATCTGTACTATATAATAACATAGCAATCATTAAAAATAACAAGAGCAAAATATGTATTATTGATAAATTGATAATACTTGTTTGACATATAATAAAAAGAATTAAAAATACGATATGTCTTTGCTATGCATTGTATTATTAATAAATGGTATAGAATTCTATGTTATAAAAAATATAAAGTATGTGAAACATCAGATATGTCGAAAACATTATATAATATAATTATTAAAATAATAAAATGAAAGATTTGTAATAACGAGTATTGATTTTGTTAAATAACAAGAATATATTTATATATATATTTTACTACAGAAAAATTTATAGTTTAGTAAAACAAAATTAAAAATAAGTAATATCAAAATAAGTAATAATTTTTTTACAAATAGTAAAATATAAATTTATTACAGTAAATGTGAATCTTTATCAGAATTGTGTTTTAATAAAACAAAAATTTTCTATAAGTAAGGTTTAATAAAATGCCTTGTTTTTATTAAGTAAAAATTGTGTATAGCAAAGTAAATACAATAATATGATATTTAATTGGATTTGTTATGTGCATTCATTTACCGAGCAATCTGCATTTTTCCAACATTCAAGTTATCTTATCTAATCCTTTATTAACTGATTTTTCTAATAAGATTTAAGATAATTTTGATATATAAATCTGTGTGCTAACTCTAGTTCTTAACTCGAATGTTTTTGTGTGTGTACTCAACAGCTGTCATGGTAAGTAAAGACAAAGTCTCTATAAAATGATCATACATATTATACTGAGAAAAAAAGATAAATAAAATTACATTTTTTAACAAAAACAAAAATTATATGATATTTATAAAAAAAACATTCCAATTAAATAATAATTATTACTTCTATTTATTATTCACAATATAAATTATAAATGAAACAATTATAATTTTAAAAATATAATGTATTTTTCATAAAATAATTATTTTTATTACATCAAATTTATGTACACATGAAATATTGACTCATAAAAATTTAATTGCAACATACTTTTAATACTAATTTCTTATACGTAAATATATATTATAGATGAAGTACATAGCAGCGCTATTTGCCGTCTTGACCATTATTGGTCTGGGACAAGCTCATCAATTTGAGGACTTTGGCAAAGGTCCTCTTCACGAAGATATCCAGGACTTTTTGGACTTTGTTCCTTACCAAGAAATTCAAGGCATCGTTTCGGATTACATATCAAACGATCCGGAAGTACAGAAAGCTTTTAGTGATCTTTTAAGTTCGTCCGTATTAAGAGACCTGATGGTAGATTGGGAAGCTATTCCTGAAATGATTAACATTTTAAATTATGTGCAAAAAGAAGGCGTCGATATTTATTCATTAGTAAACAAAGCTAACAAAGCTCTCAATATCGATGAGATCGTACCACCTTCTCATTTGTATTCCCCGGTCATACAGAGAACTGGTGGGATTGTAGGACTATTCAAAGATATTACGGATGTGACTCCTCTTGCCGATTTCATTCATACTTACGTGCAAAAAATGAAAAATTCTTCACCTTTCGTCAATTTTGTCAACCAACTCAAGTCAGACAACAGCCAGCGGGCCGTAGACAAAGTCTATCAAATTAAATCCTTGCAGATCATTTTAAATGTACTCAAAACCAGTGGAGTAAATACGCAAATTACAGCTGACATCTTGTATATAGTCCTCGGCCTTACCGTACCGAACCATGTTACTGTTTATCAGGAACGTACGCTGGAAGACGAATTGATGGACTTTGTGAATCTTCTTCCGGTAGATCAGATTACTGAAATAGTCTTAAAATATGTAGCCCAAGATGAAAAAGTACAACATTCTCTGAAATATTTATATACACCAGAATTCCACTCCAATCTGCGCGATGTTGAAGCTCTTAAAGAACATCAAGTATTAGTAGTATATCTGGAGAAAGCTGGATTGAAGGTTACTGATTACATCAAAAAATTTCACAAGGACATTGGCATGGAAGATTACGTGCCACCTAAAATACAGAGCATTTTCAAATCTGAAATTGGAATACAAAAGATCGGTGATGGGATCAAAGGAATGTTGAAGGATATTTATGATATAATACCTTTGGACAAGATTGAAGCTGTTTACAATGAGAAATTGCAGAATTCCAAGGTCTTTGCCGATTTCATTGAGAAAATAACATCCTCGGAATTTCAGAAATTAGCCAATGATCTGTATGTAAATCCAACTTTACAAAATTGTTTGACGAATGCCAAAGAGAATGGATGGGAACTACCCGAGCTGACGAAATTTTTTACTAGAATGTTTGGTTTTAAGCTTCCATATTAAAATATATGTCATATTTTAAGCGCTTGTTTTAAATGTATGTTCTTTTATGTCGTTACTATATGATGTAATATATGATGTTAATGTTAAAATAAAAATTTATATACACACACATAATTGTCTTATATTTTAGTTTATTAAGAGTCTATGTCAAATCATATTCACTTTATTGTTCTGAAATTCTTTCTAATCAATAACTTTTAATATTTTATCTTTTCGCAACAATATGTTATTATTTTGAAAGAGAGATGGATTGATTCCAAACTCTTTCAATAAATAAAGCTCGAGCATCATTGTTACATTTTTTATTAGTATCCCAAGTTTCCCCGATTATAAGAGATACATGTGCAATGAATGGCATTCGTGCCTATTTAATAAAACGACGATGTTACGCAGCTGGTACTAATTTAAAAAAAGAAATTAAAGAATGCCTGAGTTGGTATCTAATGTTTTTATACTGAAGATAAAGAGAATATCTTTAATTGCGAAATGGGTAGGTACGCTTAGGCACAAAGAAAACAAAACTGCAGAAACAACATAGAACAGGAGAAGGGAGAGTGTAAGGGCCGGTGCTTCCCTAATTAAAATTGTTACAATTTAATAAGCCTCGGAACTCACCATTGGCGCGTCGTAATGGGAAATCGTGAGAAGAATAAGTGAGATGGAACAAGAGAGAGACTTCTAGAAGGAGAATGAGAAGAAATCGGACGCTTAAACGAGCGTCTTTGAGGGTTACGGACCGAGAGGTTGTACAAGAGTGAGAGAAAGGGAAAGGGAAGAGACAAAGGGGAAGAAGTGCAAGGACGCAGAGGAGAAATCTTCTTTGCGATCTCTTAACTTTTCCACTCAATATGGAGCGCAAACTATACTTTCTTTCTTGCATTAGATTTTACAGTTCTCTTTATGAAATAGCTTTTGCAAAAGATTTAATGTGATATTACGATTTTTTGCTTTCTTTTTTCTTTTAACTTTTTTTTATCTTATACGTATCGTAAAATTGTTCTAATCGTGTGATTGTAAAAAAAACAAACGATGATATTTATTTATTATAAATTTTTATTTTGCTACATAAAGAAATAGATAATATGGTTTAATACAACAATTTGAATAACAGAAGTGTCTTTATTTTCTCGATTTGTTAAAATACAATAAATATTAGTATTAGAAAAAATTGCTTTTTATTTTAGCCTGATTTAAAATTTTTACACTAGATATTGTAAATTTTTATTACTATTCTCTTAATTATAAATGTTTATTAATAATAAACGTGTAGTTTTTTCGAAAAGACCTCAAAAAATTTCACGTTTTAAAAAGTGGAAAGGCTCCTTAAGTTTGAAATTTCCATATGATAATTATAAATAATATCATTATATTATAATAATTTTTACAAAAATCAGTTTTTGCATCATAAATACAGTTGTTAAGTGAGTTTTTTTTTTTTAAAGAAAAGACATTTTGGTATCTTCTGTATCGCAACACCATGTTTAATTGGCAATAGTGGTAACATCGGCTTCATAATTGTACTTTGGAGGATCTTCGTTTTCTTCGAAGTTCCACCTGCACAACGACGAGTCATATCAAATTATTTTCTCCTGCTGGCCAGAAAACTTTTGTCCGATATTATGGCGGCATGTGGCGGTAACAGCCTGCCGTGCCGGTTCTATCGTTACCAACGTAACGGCCTCGAGGATTTTCACAGTAAAACAAGAAGAACCAACTAAGAAAATGTGTTCGGAATTGCATTAAGGCGGCTTTTGCCGCTGGGCAGAATCCCGCGAGTAATCCCGGTGCTCCGATCGTAGATTTACCGACCAGTACGCAATAACGGATGCAAAACGCTTATATAAAGACGCATTTTGGAATCTTGACAGAATTACAAGATACTGCGAAAAGCAGCTTTATTATGGTAGTTAATAATACCGATCATTAATTTATGAATACTCGCAAAATATCTATGATATTTACAATAAAATGTAATTTTGCATAAAGCTTCGCATATTCTCTTCAATCAGTAATTTAATTAATTTTTATTATAATAATATTTTTAATTTCATTTAAAAAATTTTGTTTCAGATATGATGTTTGCAATTATTTAAACGTTTTTTAAATTTATTTGTCCTTATAATAAAGAATTTTTGACTTTTCTGTAAGCGTTTATAAGTTTAATAATTAATATTATTATTCTGCTGCACCAGTAATGTAGAAATAATGTTTATTTTTACGCTTATTAGCAATATAATTTTCAATTATAATTAAATTTTTTATCGCTAACGATATTAATTATTGATTTCTAGGAACAAACAAATCATGTACTGCGTATAATACTCATGAGTATAAACATACATTTTTTATATATTATATATTATTTTATTTTTATCATTTCTCTATCAATTTAATTAAAATTACAATCCATTTTTGTAATTACAAAGTTCTAATAGTTGACACACAAAGTAATTCAGCTTTTTCAAATATTTTTAATTTAAAACGAAGCTTTTGTTAATCATTGTATTTATTATTTTTATTCCTATTTTATTAATATGTTTTGTTTATTAAAAATTATATTGATTTAATATTCGCGCGCAATAATTATACGTTTTCATCATATAAGTAAAGTTAATCGAATTTGCAACTAGATTATCCGATTAAAAACTAAAGTTCAAAGCTTATTAACTATATCGATCGTTCTGCAGCAATCAACAATCGTTCATATTTCTGCTGTAAATCATTAATTGATAAAAATTAAAAGGCAAGGGCAAATTTCAACATTTAGATATCATTAGTTTTTATCAGTATACATCAATATGAAATTAGATTAAGCAAATCTGAATGAACATTGCCCGCTTATTCATCAAACGTGTATCTCTTGAATTTTCCATCGTAAAAGGCTTCTTTGATACCGAAACGCAAACAATTCGTTCAAAAACGGATGAGAACGAGTGCCAATAAAGGTGCGGCATGCAGGGCGAACGAAAAAATTTGTGTTTTACGACACGTTATCCGATGGCAACACCGACAATTGGTAGCCGCCTAAACTCGGCCAATCGGAAGTCCCTTGTGTTTGATAGCGGAAAAAAGTCCGGCAACGGGCACGGGGAGGAAAATGTTCTTTTACTCCCTTTAGTGTTACGTTCATGTTACGTTGCTTGCCTTTCAGGAAGGCTCGTTGCTAAAGAAAGACTCTGGGACGATTCTATGGTGCCGAAGAAGCGAAGAGGTTGCCCGCTAGAAAGTGGCAGAAAAGGTGGCCGTAACAAATCCTCCGCAAGTAATCGAGGTCGTGCCTCGGCAAGGTTTTACTCTCGAACACTTAACTCTATTGCGATTGGATTCTCTGGCTGCCTGGTGTGGAGCGCACACTCCACCGCGTCTCGCCTGTTTCGTTTTCTCGCTACCCCGCCGCCTCTTCCCATCGCCGCGCTCGCCGCCCCCTTTGTCTCTTTCTGTACCGCTTCTCGACCACCTATATCGCGGAACACCTCGGTGGTTTCTTACACGTGGAAACCTTATTACTGGCGACACGATAAAATACCCCCGAGACGAAGGAGACCGTTGCTCGAGTGCCGGCACCACTATGAACTCTGACAGGGCGCAATGGGTAGAGACGATACAACGAGGATTGTACTCCGAGCAGTAATGGGAACTTTTAAAGATTGCACGTGAAGAAGATATATTCGGGAATGCGGGAAGGAAAAGTAGTTCGTGAGAGCAGTATTGTATAGGACAGTGAGGCATTGCTGCCAGACATCAGTACAGGATACTTCCAGGATACATGACAATTTTAGTTTCTAAATAGTTGTGAATTAAAAAAGGATACTTGAAATTGGAAAATATAAATAATTTTATCTGCACACAACTTTATGATTTAGTATTTTGACTTATTCTTTATAGTCATATAAAAATTGACGAAATTTTTTAAGATATAGTACCTTCAAAACTCTTGAATATTTAATTGAAGAAAGTATGTAACTGATTTCTCTTTATATACATTTCATCAAGAAGTTAAAATTATTGTATTTAAAAAATTTTTAGATTTTAATAAATATGTATAAGCAACAAATAAAGTAAAGAAATTAAAAAACTCTTAATTAAAGATGAAATAATCATTTCTTACGTACAAAATGGATTATCCATGAAATAAGTATACAGATATTTATTTAATATCATAATATTTTTAAACACGACGATTATATTAATTTTATTAATAATTAATTAATATCGAATTTATTAATAATTTAATTAAATAAATAATTACGTGGCTTATTCTACTTACAAAATGATAAATAAAATACGTAAAACATAAGACAGAAAATTATTATAATTTTGAAAACTTTGTTTTTTCGTGGTAACGAATGATAAAATTCTTAGCAGTCAGTACAAGTGACTTTCTCACCGCAGAGACATGAGATTGAGAAGAGAAGAAGAGAGAAGCGGATAAAGAACTGTAGGGGTTAGCAACCCCGATGGACGCGCACGAGTCCGCTTGTATTTCAATGTCGGGACATCCGGCCGGGACTACGAGTGATGTGGTCTGCTACCCTCGTACATCCGGCCGTCGCCAAACACTGCCGTGTGCGTTCGTCCTACCGTATGTTTGCGTGGGTTCAACTTTCCTCAGCACCACGGGCCTGACTGTCACGAGGTGGCCATCTAACGCACGACCTTTCAACCTGTGACGCGCAAACCGCGTCATTGCGGGTTACATAGTAATACACCTGCATGTGCACCACGAAAAATGCTGTGCGAGCTAGGAGAAAGCTCGGAAACGCAAAGCCGCTAGGTAAAGTTGGTTGACAACGTCTTTGCCGTGTGGCTTTATGATCTAGCTCTTTTGCAAATAGATTTAAAGCTTCAGAATATGACATACACAACAAGAACAGTTTACCGGGAAAACTGTATTATTGCACGTCTGTTGTGTGTGTACTCAAATTAAATAGTTTCACAAAAATTTTAAAATAAATAATATATAAATTTGTTTTTAAATAAAAAAAATAAAAGAAAAAGATAAATAAAAATCTGTTTTGGCTTTCGGACAAAAATTAATTTAGAGCTGTTTAAGTTAATAATAATTTCAAATTGACACTATTAAACTATTATAAGAGATTTAAAAT